AGGAAGAGAAGAATCCATGACGATACAAGATCATAAAGATGGCTCCATTTCCTTAAAGACTGAAGAGGAAAACGATGCAGAGCTCTCCATCTCTGAGACCAAACACCTATCAGCCTCTGTGATGATAAAGAAGGACATGGAGAATGACTGGAAGACGGTTACAGTTCCTGAGACAGATAGAAACATTTCTAACAATCCGTCTGTCTCCTCTGAGTTTGCTGAACAATATGTTCAGAGTAGCTGCCCTCAAAAAGACATGAAAAATTCAGAAATGGGGTCTTCACAGTCCCTGGATAATGAGAGGCCGCTCGCAAAAAAGACAAATGTAGACTCGCAGAATAATGTGCAAAAGAGGGTGAACTTTACCTGTGAAGACTGTGGAAAATGTTTTTCTAGAAAAGTCCATTTAAAACAACACCTTATAATTCACACGGGACAGAAACCTTTCTGTTGTGACGTATGCGGACGAGATTTTAGCCTGAAAGGCAATTTGAAGAAACACATGAGAATCCACACAGGACAGAAACCTTTCTGCTGTTATCTATGTGGACTAAATTTTAGCCAGAAAGGACACTTAAACACACACATAATGATTCACATTGGACAGAAACCTTTCTGCTGTGATCTATGTGGACAAAGTTTTACCCTGAAATCATCTTTAAACCAACACATGATAGTCCACACAGGACAGAAACCTTTCTGTTGTGACATATGTGGACAAAGTTTTAGCCAGAAAGGACACTTAAACAGACACATGCGGATCCACACGGGACAGAAACCTTTCTGTTGTGATCTATGTGGAGAAAGTTTCAATCAGAAAGGAACCTTAAACAGACACATGCGAATCCACACGGGACAGAAACCTTTCTTTTGTGATCTGTGTGGGCAGAGATTTATTCAAAAAGCAAATTTAAACAAACACCACATGAGAAACCACACTGGAGGGGAGAAGACTTAACCATGAATACTGCTGTGGTTCAAAAAAATCTATTTCCTATGAAATTCCTTGTAATATTGATGGAATTTGCCTTTTTCAATTCCGATCTGGGCCACATTTGTATGTGGTTTTAAATCCGATACCGGTCGGATCTGCTGTATAAACGGCCAAATGACCCATATTGGAATTAGTATGATGTAACTCTATAGGGATGCGCGATATTGGGATTTTGGCCGATATCCGATATGCCGATATTTTAAAACTCATGTAGCCGATAACCGATACTGATACTGATGTTAAAGCTGGACAAAAATAAGTAGTCATTGAAAATAGCAGTTTTGTTATCCATTTCTGACACTTTGAAAAATAATATACGGAAATATATTTTCATATGCTGATATCAAATAGATTTTTAAAAACGCGGTATCGATCTATTTTACTTTTTAAGATCTTGTGAAATTTCATCGTTCTGTTACAAACTCTTGTGATATTTTGCAAATTCTTGTGAGATTAACTCTATACTAACAGCGTGCGGACAAAAACAAATACAACAAAACAAAGATGGAGGACAGCGAAAATGGAGCTTTAGAGTGGAAGGATAACAAACTTTAGGAATTAACTATTTGGGCGGATATAATGATCTAAAAGATACTTGAAGGTTCATACTCCAAGGTTTGTTATGCCTTGTAATTGTTTTTCTGCACATGTGGGTCCCTTCAGGGGCAACAATTTGAGACTGTCATAGACTTAGACTTAGGCAGTACTTTATTGATCCCTTGGGAAGACTCCCTCCGGAAATTAAGGTTTCTAGCAGCTTACAGGGCAAAAAAGTATTAAGTTAAATTAAGTTAAAATGGATATGGATATGGTCATATGGATAACTACAAAAAAACATCTCTGACAGAAAATCTGAATTGTGTATAAAGACCTGTAGTGTGAACATAGCCTTAGACTAGGGCTGGGCGATGTGACCTTAAACCAATATCCCGATAAATTGGACAGTTTCTCTGGCTCCTCTATCAGAAATAACAGCATCTGCAGGAAATGCAACTGATCTATTTATAATTTATTAAATAAATAACATTACACATTTCAATTAAATATTAAAGTCTTGTACCCAGTCAAGTTTAAACATTCAACAATGTCTCATTGAACGGGAAAAAAATGTTTCCTCTCTTGCAAACATTTTTGCGCAAAGGTAATGGAGCTTTTGCACGTCTTTGAACTCAACAGCGTGGCTGTGATGTAGGTGGTGGAGTATTGATGTGTTACTTTGGATAGTCCTGACAGTTTTCAGACAAACCTTGCATTTCATGTTCTTTTGCTCAACATCTATGGTGTAATTTTGGTGCCACTGAAGTGAGGATGCAGTGAGAATAATTTGCGTCGTTTAAACTCGCACACCCTCACTCACAACCGGTCTGCCAAGCGCTCAACTCTGACAACAAACTCCTAACTTAATCTCTGCTCCCGCTCACCTCCACAGGATTAAGTGATGTAGAGATGCTTCTTTTTCTTTAGACCCTTCTTCACTGTTCTCTTTGTTTATGCTGCAGACTGGATTTGTGGAGTCGCATGATTAGACACCCGCTGCAGTGTCTTAAAGGGGAAGAAAATACCAGCCACCAGCGCACACAGGCAAAATAGTAGAATAAAGTTAAATTATTTTACCGACATGGGAAAATTGTTGGCAGTTATCGTAGTGAATGGTGGTAATAGTAAAAATTCAGTATATCGCCCGGCCCTACATTAGACTCAAGGTTTTTATTTTTTTATTTTACCGTTTTCTTTCACTGTAACTTATTTAAATTAACTCTAAGTGGAGACTTTCACTGCTCTTTAAACTTTAAGTTAGAAAACTTTGTCTAGTGCAGAACAGGACAGAACATCAAACTTTGAGGGTCCAAATGGCAGACTGAATGAATTACCATCGCTCATTATTTAACTGGACTGTATAGTTAAATCCTTTTTTTTTCCTATAACACTGCGCTAGATATTTGTTTGTCAACTGTCTTCACTCCTTGCTTTTTAGATGAAATCTTTTTAGGAATTTGTGTAACTGGCCTTATGGAAGAAGAGGTTTCGTCCTTTATTTAGAAGAAAATTACGCATTCATCATTTTACCAGTTTCTAAATTTCTCTTAGGAACAAACATTTTATGAATGCTACAGACTTGATGTAGGAGTGTTGTGCAATCACTCAGCTGTTATCAAAACAGTTTTTCACTAAATGACTACATTTGTTGTTACTTAGGATCTTTACAGTTCATCAGATCATTAAGTCAAATTGATTCAAAGTTTTCTTAGTAAAACCAGTTGATGTCATCAACTCATTGACTTGAATGCAATCCCTCACACTAAGCATGCTTGTAGCGACAGTAGAGAGGAAAAACTCCCTTTTAGCTGGAAGAAGCTGCTATAGCTACCTATGGTGGTAGCTATAGCAGGATAACTATAGATGCACTTTCAGAATAAAGTACCTAATTGTACCTTTAAGGATACAAAGGCTTTTCACTGGGGTGTTATCCTCAACAGTGGGTACTTTTATATACCCCTATAGATTGTACCTCATAGGTTTAGAATTGTACCTTTGGTGATAATCTTGTGCTCTTTTGGAAAAGCAAAATATAAATAATAAAGAAAAACAAATAATCATTTAATTTTAATTTACTTTTATTTTATCAAACCACCAAACGTACACATCTGAGGTGATGTACAACATTAAGCTTTATTTTGTATTTTAATATTTCAAGTTTTCTTTTCATCTGAAAAATACAATGTCACACTGTAACATACAAAATGTCATCAACAGAGTGTGTGTCATTTGGCTGAAAGTCAATTTCATGTCCACATCCTGCTTGCAGTAAAGTCCATTCTGCATCAACCTTTACTCTGTATGCATGAAAGTGGTTGTCAAATGATAGGGGAGTCTTCATTTTGCCACAAAGAATCCACATGGTGTCGATTTTGAGGATGTATTTAATTTGCCAAAATAGTGGCACAGCCTCTGAATGCAGAAAATCTATGATGAAAACATCTCTGATTTTATACGTTACGGTGTTGATTGTTAATTGAGAGACATGTTGAAACACTTAATCAAATTCACATTACAAAGATTCTGATTAAGGGCCGAGGCATCCTGCAGTTCACCAGGTAAAGATAAAATGGAGTTACCACACTCTTTCCATGCATACTTTCAAATTGACCCAAACATTTGAGGATTTGGGATTTCTGTTTGGAACACTAAACACATTTAATGCTGTGCAGCAGCTTTATAGAGGACTCTGATTATTGTGTGTCTATCATTTGTGGTTTTCTGATATGGCTCTTTGTGGTTAAGCTTTGCTTGCAGAACTTTAGGGAAAATCGGGATATCAAAAGTAGAAGACATTCCCACACTTGTTACAAGGCTGTAAAATAAAACTTTTATTTATTGGTTGGAAGTTAAATACTGATTTTTTTTTTTTTTATTGCTTGTTAAATGTAACAAATTGAAAAGTTATAACGTATATATAAATTATGCATTTGCAATATTTGGCATTTACAGACTGTCTTCTTAATGTTTCATGCTTAATAACTTTGGTGAGAAAATGAATTTGATTTAGTTTCTTTGGACAGATAGGTACAGAAATTAGGGCCACTGAAAAAATAGGATTTTTAAATATTAAGTATAATATGAGAAAAAAGTCAGAATTCCGACTTTAATCTCTAAATTCTGATAGCTAACAAACATGTTAGCATCAAGCTGTAGCCATATCTGTTTTAGAGACTAAACTAGCTCTCTTTTTTTGATCACCTTTTTTTCCTCCCCAAAACCAATTGCATCACCATCTAAACCATTATCTCAAAGTTTAAAAGAGATAAACACAGTTCTCAGATGCATGGGAAAAAGTCAGATATTGGTTGGACTAACAATATTCTGGTCCTCTGTTTATGATATATTTGACAATAAATGCAAGATTTAACTTAATCAAAAAAGCACTTATTCATCCTCCACTAGCACCCTGGAATCAAACTGACTTTTTTCAGACAAAGCAAATAACTTAAAAAATGTATACTAACTTACCTTGTAAAGAAATGTTTAAACCAATGAATATATTCCATATCCTCAGGTTAGTTTAGCTTTTAGAGTATTGCGCCATTTTATTTTAAGCCAAAGTAAAAGGCGCAATACAGCAATTGCCAATCATGCGGCTAACCAGAAGGAGAAAATACTTCATACATTTTACGACTCGAGCCTCTCTAACTATAAGCTTTATCAAAAAGGAAAGTTTGAAGCCTACCCTTAAAAATAGACAGGGTTCCTGCCTCATTGAGTAAAACTGGCTGTTGGTTCCTCAGGAGAGGAGCCTGATAACTAAAACATCTGCCTCCCATTCTACTTTTAGAAATTCTAGAAACCACTAGTAAATCTGGTGTAATATTAGAGGGGCATCTTAACTTCTGGTCTTTAGAGATTAAAAGTCCGAAATAAGTAACGTCTTTTCTAACAGGGGTATTGAAAATGACATTTGCTGGTCAATTTAATTAATCTTTAATTTTAACATAAACCAGAGGGATTTAAAAGAGGAGGAGGATGCAGCTCCCCGCTGAATGCTCGCTTCTGATTGGAGGAAGCTGCTTTGAAAAAGTCCGCCTCTGCTGGAAGCTTCTCTGATTGGTTGTCAGCAGCAGTCTGCCGCTCTCTGCAAGGATATAAAGCAGCGCAGTGTTCCTGCTGGAGCATTTTTCTAGTAGCGTCTCTCTAGAAAGCATCTGTAACAATGAGCGGCCGCGGAAAGACCGGAGGAAAAGCCAGAGCTAAGGCCAAGAGCCGCTCCTCCAGAGCCGGGCTCCAGTTCCCAGTGGGCCGTGTTCACAGGCTGCTGCGCAAAGGCAACTATGGGGAGAGAGTCGGTGCCGGAGCCCCCGTCTACCTGGCTGCTGTGCTGGAGTATCTGACCGCTGAGATCCTGGAGCTGGCTGGAAACGCTGCCCGCGACAACAAGAAGACCCGCATCATCCCCCGTCACCTGCAGCTGGCTGTCCGCAACGACGAGGAGCTCAACAAGCTGCTGGGCGGAGTCACCATCGCTCAGGGCGGCGTGCTGCCCAACATCCAGGCGGTGCTGCTGCCCAAGAAGACCGAGAAGGCCGCTAAGGCCAAGTAAAGCCACCAAGCCGCTGCTGCTGCTGGACACAGCCCCACAACGGCTCTTTTAAGAGCCACACACTCCGCTTTAAGAGCTCAAACTCTCCATGCTGCCTTCATCAATACATTATACATTAATTGATTTTTATCTGTCAGAATGTAGTTATATTAAATCATTGATTTAGCAAGCATAATAGGAC